GATATGAAGAATATATCACTTGAACAGCTGGCAGTTACAGGAATATATTATTCATTGAGTCCCTATACAAAATAATGATCAAGAGCTTTTATTACGGAGAGAGATTAGTACAGAATATCAGGTGACTGCACTTTTTAAGTGAAATCACCATGCAGTTGGGTATTTGAGTAGTGGCTGCTTTGACCTCGATATCTTAGATAATGGTAATAATATGATGGCACAAAGATATGACAACAAAATCCTTCTTTCACACTTTGGGTTTTATTCCCTTTTTAATTGCAGTAGCTTCAGATTTCATTCGTGAAAATAACATTGTCCGAAAACATGAGTTGTACCATGAATAATTGCTTGCTGGGTGAGAGAGTTCAGGATTATTGTCTTCAGTACATTTTCATCTCAATCATATGAACACATTTGAAATGCTGTTAAGAAAATTGTTGCTTTCCATCAGCCATCTGAAACTATTGTGAAAGACTATACATATCAGTTACATATGAATGGAGATTGCCTAAAGACCCATTGGATCATTTATTTGTTGACAAGAATTCTTTTTATGCAGCCCACATTTGTACAAGAAGGGATGGGTTAGCTTATTCTGGTTGAAAATGATATTTCTAATGTAAAATGATGGCTTTTTCTTTGTGGTGGTTTTAATTTCACTCAATATTTTTACCCCTGTTTTTTTTCTCATGTCTATGTGCATACCATGTTTTGAATAATATTATAAACTAGTTAAAGTTGCTGCTTGTCTTTAGACATATATCTTATTTACAGATTAGTATTTGTTATTTTGAAGCAAGAATGATTTGATATCCTTTTTGGTTTTGAATGAATCTGTGTTTTACAATCTTTACAGTAATCTGAAAAATATCTGTCACTTAATGAAGTTTGTAACTCTCTCATGATTATGAAATCATTCTCTCATGACAATGATTCTATGGTCAGTTTATCTGCTTGCATAAGAAGTTTTTGTAAAATGACTGTTTTCAAGAATTTTTTGAATTTGTCCTGATTAATGATTCTGCATTACATAAATTGTTCTTTTTATTATGTTTCTGAATGCATACAAACACTGCCAATAGTTCTTTAATTTTATAAATAAGTATTTAATGTGTATGTGTGTATATGCAGTTCTTTTACTTTATATATAAGTATTTAGTATGTATGTGTGTACATGCATATTGAAAACTCCAGTTCTGTAAATATTTGTAATACCATTACCTGAATTTTTTCTTAAATGCACATTTAAAAAAAAGGTGCAAGCAAGAGGATATATATATATGCATGAAAACGTTTATAGCAAACTTTCAGTAAGTAAATATTTTGGTACTTATATATTTTTCTGTCGACGATGAAATTGTCAGACACGTTGCTAAACTTGCACAACCATTTCAGTAAGTTTGATGGAGCAGACTGCTGTTTAATTAGCTTGGTAGTCAGCAGATAGAACTTATGGATATAACATAAAAAGCTTAAATAAATATAAGTTCAGACTTATGCTTATGATTTGGGAAAAGTGTGGATAGAACAGATCCTCTTTATTCATTTAGATAACTCACAGATGTGTTGAGGTTATCAATAAATACTTCCTATAGGCTAAAAAAAAGTAATTAATAAATTACAAATAAATAAGATGCATATTAAGAGCAAGCAACGTATCCGTTTATTACTGCATGCTACAGTCGGAATACTAGAGTAAAGAGTTGAGTTGTCGCTTGTCTGATACAAAGTTGAGTTGTTACTACAATACTTCCTCCACAAGCCACAACTTATTTAAGATTAAATTAACATTCATTAACAAGACTGTTAATGTTAAATGAAAACAGTCCTAACAAGGTACACAGTTCTTTGAACCTAACACTAGACAATGGTTTAGTCATGATGTCTGCTAATTGCATTTTACCAGGAACATGCTCGAACAGTTCCAGTACTAGGAACAGTTCACCATCAATTAATTTTTCTTTCACAAAGTGATAATGGACATCTATGTGAATGGACCGTTTGTGGTATTCAGGATTCTTGGCAAGTTTCACAGCACTATCATTATCTACCAAAAGAGAGGGAGTTTCGTGATTTGTTATGTCACTGAGCAGATGTTTCAGCGAAATTAGTTCTTTAGCACCCTCACTCGTAGCAACATATTTGACCTCTGTAGTAGATGACACCACACTCTTCTGCTTTTGGCTCATCCACGAGAGGGTTCCACATGAAAATTTAGAGAACCATTACCAGTTCTTTGAGCATCCTTGTTTTTAAATCAACCTGCATAATCAGCATCGCTGTACACTTCAAGCTATTTGGGATGACACTTTGCTTGATATAACAAGCCAAAATCTACAGTTTCTCTTAGATATTTAAAGATTCGCTTTACAGGACACCAATCTGAGGTCCTGGGATTTTCAAGATTTTCAGAAACAATGCTTATAGCATAAGCTAAATCAAGTCTTGTAGCAGTTGCAAGGTACATCAGACTGCCAACCGCCTGGCGATGGAACAAACTGATAGGGAAAGGATCAGTTTGTTTTCTGTGTCATCAAAAATAAAGCTTTTGTCACTTGGAGTTGAAACTGGATTGGCGGAATCTACATGAAATTTTGAGAGAACTTTTTTTAAATAAGCACACTGATTCACAAAAATTGAACCATCATTCAATCTTGTTAAGTTCATACCTAGAAATTGATTTAATGAACCCCTCGTGATCTGAAAAGCATGATCAAGTTGACTCATAAACTCCTCCACTTCAACTTTGTCTGTCCCAGCAGCAAGGCCATCATCTACATAGATAACAACAAGGAGTTTCTTGTCAGTTCTGTGTCTGATAAACAAGCAGGGATCAGCTGTACTAACTTCCAGTTTCCTGGTCTTTCATAAAAATTCACAAAACACTGATTCCAGCAACGGGGTGCTTGTTTGAGTCCATATAAACTTTTATGCAATTTACAGACTCTCCCACTATTATCATTGAAGCCTTCTGGTTGTGTCATGAACACTTCCTCCTTAAGGGTTCCATACAAGAATGCAGTCTTTACATCAAACTGCTGCAAGTACAAATTTTCTTTTGCCGCCACAGCAAGAACAGCTGTTCACAGTGTCATATCTTGCAATAGAGCTGAATGTCTCGTCGTAATCAAAACCTGCTTTTTGGGGCATAACCCTTGGTTACAAGACGAGCTTTGTGTCGCTCTACAGTACCATCTGGATTAAATTTCTTCCTCAGCACCCATCGACAGTTGATAACTTTGGATCCTTTGGGTCTCTTAACAAGTTCCCATGTTTCATTTTCATGAAGGGCTTTTATTTCTTCTTTCATGGCTTTTAGCCACAGGTTATTTTCACTTGACGAAAGAGCTTCAGAACATGTGGATGGATTTTCACTGTTTTCAAATTCTTCTACTGCAGCTATGTTTGCCATCAGATATTCTCCGGATTTCATTCATGTAGGACAGCTTCGGTTTCTTCCGGATTTTCTAACAGGCTCTTGTTCTTTGGAAAGATTACGTTCTTCACTCGAGTTTCTTCATACTTTCATTTAAGTCTTCCTCCTCCACCTCTGTCACAGGAGTGGTGTACAAACGTTCTGGTTTGAAGTCAACATCTCGAGATTTTATGATTTTCTTCTGAGAGGGCAGATAGATCTTATAACCATCTTTCTCGTTTACATACTCCACAAAATGGCCACGAACACTTTTGTCTTCAAACTTACATCTGAAGATCTTTGTTACATGTACATAGCATTCGGTTCCAAATACTTTCAGGTGGTCAAGTTTAGTTTTTGGCTCACCAGTCCAAAGCTCATGAGGACTTTTGCTTTCATCTGAGGATAAACCAGTGTGATTTAGCAGATACACTGTGGTGTCACATGCGTTGGCCCTGTGCTTAAATTGCACCAGAGCCCGGCTCCGCTACTTCTCAATATTATAAGATAAATTACAATTTTAGCCGGAGCGCACCGGAGCCCTAAATAAGATAAGCTCTGGTATTTCTTTTTATAAAACTGAACCACAATTTAAAGGGAAAAAAATTTAGAATTCTTAACGTTTTAATTTAACAATAAGCAGACTTTGCAATACTCTATTTCCCTAGAAATACGAACTTATGAGAACATGAGACGTTCAAGTAAAGTCCCTTCACTCACATGCGGAAACCTTTCCCTTTAAGAAATGTGCGTTAAGTGACAGCAAGTATGATAAGAGTGAAATACTGAAATAAACTGCTCAGGCACATCCTATACATCGTCTTCCCACAGTATCCACTAATGGGGGGAAGCGTAACCAGCAACTTTACATTCATCCTTAGGAGACAGATTCAGGACTCATTTTACCCCTGTCAGACATCTGCTTGATGGCTATAATTATATCAGCAGAGAGCCAGTCAAAGAGAACATTCTCTCTCACGAAGATTCCCCTCATTTTTTGTTTCCACCCACTCATACCCACATTCGGTTTTGCCCTGGAATTTTCATCAGCTATACTTTAAGTATATTTATTTTTTGTGGTGATAAAAGAACTTCCCTTCCCCTCAGAGCTTAAACCCACTGGATCTCGGCTCCGGTGCTTCTTAGTTTTTGTAATAAATCATAATTCTAGCCGGAACGCACCGGAGCCCTGAATAAGAAGGCTGCAGTACTTCTTTTATGTAATTGAATAACAATTACAGTAGAAATTTTATCTCGAAAATTTTATTTTAACAATAAAATTATATTAAAAATTGCTTATTAAATTTCAATTTATCTTTTTGCATTTTATTTAATTTTTAATTATTTAATTACTTCAATTTGAATTATTTCAATAAATAATAATTACTTATCTAATATTATCAATTAAATTATAATTAATGAATTATATAATTATTATTGATTAAATAATTATTTATAAACATTAATTAAATAGTTAATTAATCTGATACTAAATAACTATTTAATTTAAAAATTATTAATGAGTTTAATAGTCATTTTATTTATTTATTTACTCTTGTTCCTCTTTGCTGATGGTCTTCCATAGGGCACTGGCACTTCTAATCTTAGAAATTAAGCCCTGCTTTGGCCCAAAGTGACCAAGGGCAATGCACTTGTTGCAAGCATAGAACGAGCCAGTTCAACAATTGTTCAGTTTTCCCTCTCTGCTGCACCATTTTGCTCTGGTGAGTATGGTACACTGAGAGTTAGTGCTATACCTTTTTTAACAAGTATCTTTTGAATTTCACCACAGTCAAATTCTCATCCTTCATCACAACAGAAACTTTTTACAACATGGCCAAGATTAGTGGCTTCATTGAGAAACGTATGTAGGCAACAACTAACATCACTTTTCTTTTTCAAAAAGATTTTATGATATTTGCTATAGTTATCTTTAAAGCAAACATAATATTAAAGCAAACATAAATTTAAAGCAAACACCACTAAAAGCCCACAGACATAGGGCCAATATGATCACAGACATGCATTTTCTGAGTATAAAAAATTTTTAATTAATTTTTGCTTAGTGATTTGTGAGAGGAAGAAAAGTAAGTACCGTCTATATTTTATATTTTTGTATTAATTTTTTACAGAAAAAGCAAGTAGGAAACTTAAGCAATCAAGATCTGGAAATTAGTAAAATTTGGTGCTACATAAAACAGTTAATAGAACTTTAAACTTATCTTGCTAACAATTAAAAGTCATTATTTAATTAATATCTTTTATAAAGACGTATAAGTAGATGTTCATGAAAAAATATAGTATAAAAAACTATTAGAAAATGTAAAATATTGTTGTGTTTGAAATTTTTGTTCTTCTAAAGGTTTTGAGAGTTATATGCAGTAGTACGTGTTGTGATGTAGTGGCCAAAACCATTACACAAACCCTGGGTTGTAATACAGGGTTGAAATTAACTTCTAACTCAAGTTAAAACAATAACATGTATTTTAATAAAATAAATACATTAACAAGTGCATAACCAGACAATGTGGGACATGGATACATTCAATCCCGTAATTTCAGAATTTTGTTAACATAAAAAATGCTGTATTGCATTATACATGAGGAGAGATAGTTCTAGCAGGCCAACATACCCATGGCTCTAGCAGGAAACTTTTCCCCTCTTCTCAGGAAACTACTTTTTATATCTCACTGCGTTTACTTGCAATGAACTCCTGGAGGGGAATGATTCCTTTACCTTGTACACAACAAAACTGTCCATCTCCTGAGCTTGATGAAAAGATTTCTTTTATCCCTTTGCCCATTGGAGTGACCTTCAAGGCTGCAACCGGAATCATTAACAAAGGGGCCTCATTTCACAGGATTTCACCACTAATCTGAAAAGAGATTCTATTGCAATCTGAAATCATTCATCCTAGACAAGTAATCTCTATGCGACCTTATCGCGGTGTAAAAAAAACACGGTTTGCTACCAAAAGGAGTACAGTTGCACTAAGTTGAAAATATAAGATTTAATGTTGACTTTCCTGAAGTTCAACGAAGTAGATGAACATATCGTGTCAGACTATGGCATGTTAGCAAAATTATACGATGGATAACCTACGAATGTATTTTACTGTTACAACATGAGTTATGTCTGATTAACATTTCATTTTAGTCATGCACGTAATTAGCGGTGTAGTAAAATTATCCGGAATACTTGGGCTAGATTCTTGTTACACTTCATGTATCACATTGCCACACCATGTTCAAGAGAATCACGGCTACTGGCCACGTTGACAAACACCCCGGATAGGCATATCAGGAAAGACACGCAGTCATCAGCAGAACCGGGAGGACACGCAGTCGACACCGTATAATCTTTCTCTCTCCATGGGAAGGATTCTACTACTACTTATATAATTCACCTTTTGTGCTCAGCGCAGCTGCGAACATGAGGAATGCAGATTCTAAAAATTATGCAAGGTTAAAATTATATTACCTGGTAAACAAAACTTTAATTTTTGTTAACTTTTATATTTTAAATGCTTTTTTTTTTTTTTTTTTTTTTTTTTCAGTAAAAAAATATTTAATAAAAAATAGGAAATAGAAAGATAAAAATATTACTTACTAGCTGTTAAGTTACCAGCCTTCATCTGGCTTTTAAATATACTGGAAAAATGCCAGAAGGGAATACCAAATATTAAATTTTAAACCTGCACAGAATTTTACTCTGCAGAACAACTTTATTAAAAAAAATTACAATGAAATAAGCAATATCCTTTAATACAGATATTAATTATCGTAATAAATTAACTACCTTCCCATACCTTTCTGTTGACAAACATCTAGTATCCAAGAGAAACATTAAATTTAAAACCTGAACAGAATTATCGCCCTCATTTTTCCGAGTGGCAACAGTGCTGATATCAGCAATAATGGTTACGTACCATTGTTGCTGTTGAATTATCGATTTGATGAAATTTCATCAAAAAACATAACATTAAAAAAAAACCATTCGAACTGCTTTGAAAAAAATTGCTTCAAGGTGCACTGGCTTTTGTCTAGATGCACCTATGTACCAAATTTCGTAGCCCTGGGTTTATTAGCTTAAGCGCAAGCACGAACGAAAGACACACACACACAAAGACAGACAGACTCTTCTTTATATATATATAGATTTCTACTTGTGCTGAAAACCATTATTGTAGAACTGTTATGCTTTCTCTTTGCTTTTATTTCTTGCAGTACCACAACGTTTTCTTCCGTGCGTTTCCCCGTAGCGTTTATTTCTGGGATGTTTTTGCGTGTAACCGTTCAGTGATAAGTAAAGGAAATCTTACTTCACAAAAAACAGATAAAATATACTTAGTTGACTGCACAAAGAAAACTATAGAATTTCTCAAAATGCAGTCTCTGAATTTGAGCCACTATATATCAACTGTATAAATTCTTTGAATCATTATATATCAACTTCTAATAAGAACCGGGGAAAAAAAAAAAAAAAAAAAACTTGTGAATTTCTTTGAGTAGGATAATTTGTGACCTGATGTTTTTTCACAGAAGATCAGTTAAGATGTGTTGGTAATCACTGTTACTAATTATCATTTGGAAGTTTTCCTGAGATTAATTGAAAAACAATCAGTCTTAAAACTTTGTTGATATACTATATATATAAAGTTATACAATGTTGTTGCTGATGCTATCATTCTAGCATTATACATTATGTTAGTCTAGGTAGTCATGAAAGAATTAAGTATAATTTGAAACTAGTTTTAGCTAGAAACAAGGCATGCTTTGCAGCATACTTTCATTCCCTGGGGTCACTACATGCTTCATAAAAAAAATATGGAAATCTCTCTACCGGCATTAAACACGCATAAATATGATATTTCATGTTATCAGAAGTTCATCACAGCCATATTGTCATCAATAGGCTGCACTGTTTCACCAGTGTTCCTTTTAAAGTCTTTCTATGAGCAGGGCTTTTTTTTTTTTTTTTTTTTTTATAGGTATTGCATTTCAGGCTGTAAACACTGCAGTGTGTTTGCACTTTATGGTGGAGATGTCATCACACATTTCACAGGACTCAAAGTCATTTAAAAACAAAAGATATATTGCATTTATTTATTTAAGTCGAAAGAAAAATGTAATTAGTTCTTTGAAAGGACTACCTAATAAAACATTTTGTATTTTATTTTTGCTATCAGATATTTTCTGTATCATTATATACAGTATATTTCAAAAAGGAGGAGAGCATTTTACTACCTTGTAAAATTATTCCTTAAACTTTAAAAATCTGTTATGCATTGTTTGAAACGGAAAAGAAGGAAATTGGAGCATAAATTCTTCATTGGTTTTGCATCGGTTGAACTGGATAAAATAGATGTGCTTGTGTTTTGTCTTTAACCTTGGAAATATTATACCCGAACTCTTTGCAATTTTTGTTTCATGATGATTTTAGTTTTATGATGATGCATCTAAGATATATACATGTTGTCTTTATTTACTACATTACAAGAACTTTGAAAGCAATTTGTGGCAGCAGTGCACTGCTGAAGAACCAAAATGCTGGTGTAGGAAATTTACTATTGTGTTAATGTTTATTTATAGAAGATGCGGCCTATCTTATGTATGATATAGATCTCTCATTAAAAAATTCAGCTTATTAAGTTCTGCAAGTAGTATTTTCTTCTTTTCGAAATATCTCATTTATTGCATTTGTATTGTATATTCCCAAGCACAATATTTGCTGGATTTGGTACTTACATATTATCCCTTTAATCGTGAAAGTTGGCGGAGATCTCTCCAAAGTTATACCAGTCCTTCTTGCTGAATTTTGAAGAAATTGACGCCTCTTTATTTAATAAATAATCGGTATTCTACCTGCTTCGTTCTTGCTCTTGGTAAAAGGCTTTCATTGATTTCTGCTATTTTGCTAGGCCCTCCGATTTATCAGAAATTCTGTTTAGAAATGCTATGAATGCAAACTTCTCGGACGTAATTATTACAATCTTTTACTGTCGGCTATTTTCAGCTGACCACATCATGTCCATTAGCACGCAATTTTTTTTTTTTTTTTAAATAATAGGATCCCATGTCTTTGAAAATAATGGGCAGGTCCCCAGTTTTAATCATTTTTTTCAAAATGCAAGAGAAAGATACAGCTCTAAGAATTAATTATTCTTTGTTCATAAGAGTTAAGTCCTTGTTCGTATTAAAAACAAAACTTACCGAGAATCAGTCGGAGTTGCATCAAACGAAATCGCAAATGCTATGAATATGTTGTTACACCACGCTTATTCATAACTGTCCCTAAATCCCTTGGAAACACCTTCATGGTCAAGGGGTAATATATAAGTACCTTGGATTTTGAAAAGGTGGCTAACAGCTTTGTTTTCATAAGGTAAATAGATCGTACATATGTTCTTCCAATGTTCCCATTCCACATCTTTTCTCGAAATAAGATAGAGAATTTTATGAAAGCAGTTCAGTACTGGGGGTAAAAGAATTTTGTAATTGAAGGAATTTTTGTCTGACCTGTTCAGAGCAAAAATTCATATTAATCATTGTGCTTTAATAAGCGAAACACAAAAAGTTTAAAAGCTTTAAATGCAAAATTTGGGAAGCTATTTGAAAACTGTTTTATTCACTTTTCAGTTTCTGTTACTGGTTGCTCATTTTCGAACTAAAAAATTTTGTATAAGGTAAAATAGCCTTTATTATTAAATTTGTAGCTGGTTTTATGAAAATATGAACTGCACGTATCCCTACGAATATTATACATAAAGGTGTCGGATGTTTTATAAATAACGTTAATGTAATTTATCCAACAAGTCAGTGGTTTACATATGGAATAATACTGTGCATATGTTCTGTCCTGATAATAACCGTGTTTCAAAAAGAATATACTTATTACAAAGTGTGTTATTTTGTCCAAACTATCGATCAGTGTGCCTCGGCTCGGCTATTGGCGAAACGAATAAATAGTCCATAGTTTATATTAATAGAGCGCTAGATTTCAGTTGTCTTCTGTTTTGCGTGGTAACCGTCACATGTTTAAAATGGCTACTCTGCAGCAGAAATCATTTTGTGTTGTCGAGTTTGCGAAGTGCAATTCCATGATTACAGTGCAAAGACGTTACGTTTCAAGGTGAAGTGCCAAAGTGATCCTCCGAATGGGTGGAACATTCGCAGATTGTATCGACAGTTTGTAAATACAGGATGTGTATGTGAAGGAAAAAGTCCTGGCCGCCCTCGTGTTCCCGAAGAAAATGTTGCACGAATTCAAATTGCTTTCCAACGTAGTCCTACAAAATCAACTCGTCGTGCCAGTCGGAAGTTACAACTGCCTACAACAACAATTTGGCGTGTTTTGAGCGGTGTTTGGTTGTGACGCCGTATAAGTTACATTTGTTACAGGCTCTGCGTCCTGATGACAAACGCAAACGTGTGGCATTTTGTGACGAGATTATTGATGCTACTGACAATGATAACACTTTCTCACACCGCATCGTGTTCAGTGATGAAGCGACTTTTCATGTTGGTTGTCATGTAAACAAAAACAATGTTCGAATTTGGGGGCTACAGAACTCGCATGCAGCCATTGAACGTGTATGAGATTCGCCCCAAATCAATGTGTTTTGTGCGATATCCCGATTATCTGTTTACGGCCCATTCTTCTTTGATGGAAACACGGTTAACGGTCAGCAGTATCTCGTTATGTTACAAAACAGGTTGTTTCCCAGGCTGCATGAAGACAACTTCATTTTTCAACAAGATGGCGCACCCCCTCACTGGTGTCGCCAAGTGCGTGATTATCTGAATGAAACTCTACCGAACCGTTGGTTTGGTCGTCAAGGAGCTGGTGACATAGCATGTCTCAGCTCGCCTCCTCAGTCACCGGATTTGACACCCTGTGACTTCTTCCTATGGGGTTTCATAAAAGACAACGTTTATGTACCACCATTCCCACAGAACTTGGAAGAGGTGAAGAACCGGATCCGTACTGTCATAACATCAGTGCCGACGGACATACTTGCTCGAGTATGGGAGGAATCTGAGTATTGATGTGATATTGTTCGTGTCGCTGATGGACATTTGTACATACGTATTGAACATTTGTAACATTCGCAAGAAAATAATTATGCACAAACTGTTAAACATGATATATGATTTCTTTTAACAAATCTTAAATGTCAATTTTAGGAGTCTTTCAACTTTCTTTAAAGCTCTCATATCTCATTAGTGCAGTATATTATTATTATATATCTGAATATCTATTTTTTTTCAAAGAATTGATGAGTGCTATGTATTTTTTCTTTTAAATGTAATTAATTAATTATACAGTAATGATTTTATATGCACTAAATACAAGCGAGCTTTGTAAGATCTAGTGCATTTTGCAGTCATTAAATGGTAACTAGATCTACTTAAAGTTCGAACTTTGCGACTTTTCGTACAGGCGTGAAGATGAACGTAATAGGGAAAGGGTGTAAACGACCTTTATTTATCACAAACTGTATAACAGAAAGCACGGACTTATGTGCGCACACAAGACACTTACCACTTGCGGTGAGAACTTAAAAGTTAAATAAAATATAAATTTAAAGGTAGAGATGTAGTGCTTGACTATCCAATTCAGTTTAATTTCACAGGATGACTCAGAAACGTACAGCGGCGATATACTAACTAGACGGCCAGAATGTGTAGCCGTTACTAAGATTAATAGCTGGAAAACAAAATAGTAAGCGTGCGCTTTCAGTAGCGAAATCACGCTCTGTCTAACCTTTTCATTTCAACAGTTTAAATACTCTCGTTCACCTGCTTCATTTACATCCTAGTGAGGAAATGCCAGGGGAAATAAGAGAATTCAGGAAAGGCTTACAGATTAAAATAACTGTTAGTAAAACTAAACAGGACCATATAGCTTTAAAAAAAATAATTCAAACAAAGGGGCAGTGACTTAAAAATATTTGAGGAAAATTAATGTCAAAAGTTAAATATTATGTGTGGGAAATTCTCTCATGCACATGTTTGAAACTGTTTTTGTAAAATTCTGTGACTTATTTTGTGAAAATTTGTATCTGGAAGGACATGTTTATGAACAATATGTAAGAACTTAACCTATAGGCATCTTTTTGGAACATCCTGCATAGAATAATTCATCATTGAATGTGCAAATGCATGATGTAACACAATATAAGAATGAAATATTTGAATAATTGCTTCCAAAATATATGCTAAATGCTAGGGAATAATTTGTAGGCGCGTGTGATTAGGAAGTATTTGTGTGTGGATGAAGAGCATGCTAATTTGTTGGCTAATTAATTTAGGCAAAGCATGTGGGAGATGTTTAAGGTCGATCTTGTGGCAAAGAAATGGTGATTAAAGCTAATAAGCATAAATAGATACTAAAATTTAACTTGTAAAAGTATGGGGGTATCATCCATAGAACAATTTACCATTACTATCAATTTTGGGATTTCTGC